GGTGTGGGTGACAGTGTGGTGGAGAAAGAATTCCTCATTTTTTTCCAGGCACCATGAATTGAACAAGCTATTTCCAGTAAACATCCTATGCCCATTACATACATTAATCCTCGCAACATCTGTATGAAAAAGGAATTATTATTACCCTTTTATTTAAAAAAAAAAAAAGATGTAGAAATTGAAGTTCAGATCAGTTAAGTGGTTTGAACAAGGTTGCACAGAGCTAGTCATTGACAGATTTGAACTCAGGCCATATGACCGTGATTTTAATCGCTCTCACTCTGCCTCCCATACCCTTCTTTCCTTCCTGCTGCTCCTTCTCTTTCCTTCCTTTTTTTATCCTAGAGAGAGAAAAAGAGAGAGAGGGAGAGAGAAGATACCCCTTCTAGCTTTTCCTTTCTGTACACCACTGCCCTTTGGACTACAGGCGGTTACCCCATTATCTGGAATCAGGGAGGAAAGAAGCCCAGCGCTTCCAGTTTGAGGTGGGAGTACAGAGGAGAGGAGTTCCTGGTGGTTGCAAAATTAACCAGAGTGGTGGGAAAAGGAGAGCCACTCCGGGCAGAGCCCTCAGGGGTCACAGAGCTGAACAGAGGATCAGTCAGAAGCCAAGGATGAGCCAAGTCACGGTCTGCCTGTTTAATAGAAAGGCTCAGTTTTTGCTGTTTCTTACTGGTTTTCCCATTGGTTAGTACAAAGAGGGGGTCTTGCTAGATGCTTAGCAAAGATATAAGAACTTGGTAAAATCTCTTTATGTTGAGAACGCCAAAGCCACATTCTCAGAAATGTGAGAATGACACAGTGTTGCATGGTCACACCTAATCGGGTGGGCTGCAAATGTCCGTTAGGCATCATGAGGTGGGGGTGGGGGGTGCCTTATGTCTCGGGGCTTAGGTCTGTCCAATAAGGTAAAGCTAATGGGCTCCGTTACACCCTGCATTTACACACATACACATGCACACTCACACACACCCCACACCCCACACTTTCCGCGCACAGAAAGTGAGATGAGGTAGTCCCCACACCCATCAGCTACATCCAGGCCTGGGGAACATCAGGCTGACCGAATTTGGCAGGTTGGCACCTCCCTCCTTCATTGCTCCAGGTGTGGTCTTTCAAAGTCTTCATCCTAAAACAGGACTTCCCTAGACAGACAACCATCCCACTATCACATGTAGACGCAGCTGCCACAACATTCACCACACCACCCACTCCACCCGACATAAACCCTACTCTTAAACAATTGAAAGCTGCCAAATCAATATCTTATGTAGAAATTTCCCTTTAGACATCAGCAAGAAGAGTCATAGACAGCCTATGGTCAGTTTAAGTTTTTAGGGAAATTAACAAGCTTTATTCAATACTATTTGCAGATGGTTATGAGAATCTATGAGGAAACCACTCCTACAGGCCAAGGTATTTTTTTTTTTATTGTTGTTATTTTAATCTTCTACTGTCAATTTGGTCACAGAGTAAACAGCTCTGCATTCTCCTTCTCTCTGCTCCCATCACATGTCCAGTCTCTGAACTGCTGCTCCTTATCTCAAGCCACTTGTTGATTTTGTTTCCCTCTTTGCACGGGTAGCTGGAAAACTCAGAACCAAATCTGGGCCTTCCAATGATCAGAACTTTATTTCATCTTAATCTTATTTTTCCAAAGTGAATTTACCTTCCATCTCAGTCTCTTCACTTATATCTTACCTTCTAATATGCTATAGGAGCCTGGTGACGCAGCAGTTAAAGTGCTCAGCTAGTAACCAGATGGTCAATGGTTCGAACTCACCAGTCACTCCATGGGAGA